AGAAGGCACTGGAGTTCTATATTCAAAGTCCTCAAAGAAAAATAATTTCAACCAAGAATTTCCTATCCAGCCAAGCTCAACTTCATCAGTGATAGAGAATTAAAATCCTTCCCAGACATCCAATCCCTAAGAGATTATGCAGCTTCCAGACCAGGAAACACTTAAAAAGGTATTAAGAACAGAAGAAAGAAAAAAGAATGAACACACACTTCCCAAGAGAACAGCAGAGCACAGAACCAACAGAGAATACAGCACAAGAAACATGAAAACACACACATACATCAATCCCAAAGCCAAAAGAAAACAAACAAACAAAGAAAAAACTTTATAAGAACCTCATGACAAGGATAAACAATCACATTTCAATAATTAGCCTGAATGCGAATGGACTAGGTGCACCACTGAAAAGACACAGAATGGCAGACTGAATAAGAACCCATGACCCAATTATTTGCTGCATCCAAGAGAGTCATCGCACACAGACTCAAAGTTAAAGGATGGAAAACGAGTTTCCAGGCAAATGGATCACAAAAAAGGCAGATCTTAATATCAGACAAAACAGCATTTAAGCTATCAAAAATTTTAAAAGATGCAAAAGGACATTACATAATGATAAAAGGTTCAATTCATCAACAAGAAATATCCATCCTAAAAATATATGCACCCAACACAGGAGCACAAGCATTTATAAAGCAAATACTAAGAAAACTAAAAAAAGATATTGACTCTAACACTATTATAGCAGGGGACTTGAATACAACTCTAACAGCTCTAGATAGATCACTGAGGCAAAAAAACCAACAAGAAGATCTAGAACCTAAACTTGACACTTGACCAAATGGACTTAATAGATACCTACAGATTATTCCACCTAACAACCACATAATATACATTCTACTCATCACCACATGGAATGTACTCCAAGATCAATCACATCCTTGGCCATAAATCAAGCATAAACAAACTCTATAACTTTAAAATCTTGCCATGCACATTCTCAGACCATAGTGGAATAAAAATAAATATCAACACCAACGAAATTTCCCCAAAACCCACAAAGACATGGACACTAAAGAGCATGATGTTGAACAACTACTGGATCAACACTGAAATCAAAGCAGAAATTAAAAGCTTCCTGGAAATAAATGAAAATGAAAACATCTTACCAAAACTTCTGGAATGCCATGAAATCAGTTATAAGAGGGGAATTTATATCTCTACGAGCACACATCAAGAAAACAAAGAGATCACAAGTGGGCAGCCTAATAAATCACCTAAGGGAGCTGGAAAGAGAAGACCACCAAAATCCCAACTTTAGCAGAAGAATCCAAATCACCAAAATAAGAGCCCAAATACGGGACATAGAAGACAAAAATATCATAGAAAACATCAACAAAACAAAAAGCTGGTTCCTTGAAAGAATTAACAAGATTGATGGAGCCCCTAGCCAGAATGACCAAGAAAAAGAGAGAAAAAACCAAATAAACACAATCAGAAATACAAAAGATCAAATCACAACTGACTCTGAAGAAATACAAAAGATTATCAGAGATTACTATGTACACCTATATGAAAACAAACTTGATAACCTAAATGAAATGGAGGACTTTCTGAAATCACACAACCTCCCCAGGTTTGAAACAAGAGGACATTGAGACACTAAATAGACCAATAACAATTCAGGAAATTGACTCTGTCATACGAAAGCTACCTAAAAAAAAACAACAAAAAAAAAAACCCTGGACAGTGTGGATTTCCAGCAGAATTCTATAAAATGTATAAGGAGGAGCTGACATGAATCCCATTGAAAGTATTCCAGGCAATTGAGAAAGATAGAATTCTCCCCAAATCATTTTACGAAGCCAACATCACACTGATACCCAAACGAGGTAAAGATCCAACAAAAAAAGAGAACTACAGACCAATATCCCTTATGAACATACATGCAAAAATCCTCAGCAAGATTCTAGCAAATCGGATCCAAAAGCACATCTCAAAAATCATCCACCATGACCAAGTAGACTTCATCCCCAGGATGCAGGGCTGGTTCAATATTCGCAAGACCATAAATGTCATTAAATACATCAACAGATGCAAACACATGATTGTCTCATTAGATGCAGAAAAAGCTTTTTGATAAAACCCAGCATCCCTTCTTGATAAAAACCCTCAAACACCTAGCTACAGAAGGAACATACCTCAAAATAGTAAGTGCCATCTACGATAAACCCACAGCTAACCTATTGCTAAATGGACAGAAATTGGAAACATTTCCCCTGAAAACTAGAACAAGACAAGGCTGTCCACTCTCACTCCTCTTGTTCAATATTGTGTTGGAAGTCCTGGCTCGGGCAATTAGACAAGAGAAGGAAATCAGGGGAATCCAAATAGGAAAAGAGGAAGTCAAGTTATCCCCCTTTACTGATGATATGATCCTATACCTTGAAAATCCAAGAGAATCTGTCAAAACCTGCTTACACTGATAAAGGACTTTGGCAAAATCTCAGGGTACAAAATAAACGTGCAAAAGACAGTTGCATCCCCATGCACCAACAACAAGCAGGCAGAGACCCAAATAAAAAGCACAATCCCATTCACAATAGCCACAAAAAAATTGAAATACCTTGGCATCTTCCTAACCAGAGAAGTGAAAGACCTTTACAATGAGAACTACAAAACACTGCTCAAAGAAATCCAAGAAGACACAAACAGATGGAAAAATATTCCATGCTCATGGATAGGAAGAATAAACATTATTAAAATGTCCATCCTACCAAAGGCAGTCTACAGATTCAACACAATACCCATTAAGTTACCAACATCATTCTTCTCAGACCTGGAAATGACAATACAGAAATTCATATGGAAACGTAAACGACCATGAATAGCCAAAATAGTCCTAACAAAAGAAACAAAGCAGGAGGTATCACATCTCAAACTTTACTATAAGTCTACAGTAACCAAAACAGCCTGGTATTGGTACAAGAACAGGCACACAGACCAATGGAACAGGATAGAGATTCCAGAAGCAAAGCCTCAATTTCTCAACCAACTCATCTTTGACAAAGCTTCCAACAATAACCACTGGGGAGAGGAGAACTTATTCAGTAAATGGTGCTGAGCAAACTGGCTAACCACAGGCAGAAGACTGAAACAGGACCCCTACCTAACACCATACACAAAAATTAACTCTAAATGGATTAAAGACCTAAAAGTAAAACCTCAAACTATAAGAATCTTAGAAAACACAGGAGACACCGTTATGGAAATTGGAATTGGCAACCAATTCCTATTCAGAACCCTAAATACCCATACCTTAAGAAATTAGACAAGTGGGAACTCATCAAACTAACGAGTTTCTGAAAAGCAAAAGAAATCATCAAGAGAGCAGGAAGACAGTCCATACACTGGGAAAAAATACTTGCCAACTGTATGTCTGGCAAAGGCCTAACATCTAGGATCTACAAGGAACTCAAACACACTGAAAGGAAAAAAAACAAACAGCCCATTAAAAAGTGGGCAAAAGACATGAATAGACACTTCTCAAAAGAAGATATACAGGCAGCCAACAGACACATGAAAAAGTGCTCAGCCTCAGTCATCATCAGAAAAATGCAAATCAAAACCACATTGAGATACCACCTAACCCTAGTAAGAATGGCCATCATTAATAAAAGAAACAACAGCAGATACTGGCAAGGATGCGGAGAAAAAGGAACGCTGCTATACTGCTGGTGGGAATGCAAACTAGTGCACCCTCTTTGGAAGACAGTGTGGCGATTTCTGAAAGAACTAGAAATTGACCTTCCATATGACCCAGCCATTCCCCTATTGGAAATATACCCGGAGGAACTCAAATCATTCTACAAAAACGATGCCTACACAGGTATGTTTGTTGCAGCTCTATTCACAATAACAAAAACATGGAACCAACCGTGCTGCTCATTGAAACTGAACTGGAAAAAAAATGCGGTACATATACACAATGAAATATTATGCAGCCATAAAGAAGGACAAACATGGACATTGCAGCAACTTGGATGGATTTAGAGTCAATCATACTCAGTGATCTATTACAAAACAAAGAGCAGAGTACCATATGTTCTCACTCATAAGCGGACCTTGAACAAGTATAATACTATAAGAAAGGTATTGGCAGTAGTGGGAAACTGTCAGGGGAGGTGGGGGTGGGATTGGCAGTTGAGGGAAACTGCTAGGGGAGGGAGGGGCATGCCTCATCAACAAGGGTACCTGCATCATCAACGCTTGTATACCTAACCCTGAATTGTACCCCACACCTTTATAATAAAATAAGTAAATAAATAAAATTAGAGTTTCTAACTGGAAAAATTAAGGACTCCTGTAGAATTCCTCGAAGATATCTTGAAGAGATGTTTTCCTAACAATAGAAAGACCTTTATATAACACCCTCACTTTATTCAAAAACAAAACAAAAATCCTTGGCTGGGTATTTGACTCATGCCTGTCATCCCAGCACTTTGGGAGGCTGAGGAGGGAGGATTGCTTGAGGCCAGGAGTTTGAGAGCAGCCTGGGCAACAGAGTAAAACTCCATCTCTAAAACAAAACCAAAATTTCTTTTAATTAGTTGTATGTAGTGATATGCACCTGTAATCCTAACTACTTGGGAGGCTGAGGTAGGAGGATCACTTGAGTCCAGAAGTTCAAGGCTGCAGTGAACTATGACCGTGCCACTGTACTCTAGCTTAGGCAACAGAGCAAGATCCTGTCTCTAAATAAATAACTGATATCCTTATATGCCAAAGCATTATAAGGTGTTACAAGTCTACAATAGCTAAATACTGGAATTTGCTCTGGAAATGTTTGCCTGTAATATCAGATTGGAAACATACAGAATTCCTAATCCTCTGAATTCTGACTGCCGATTGAACAATCTGTGGCTCTTAAATAAAAGGGCCGTGTTCCGTTGTTTTCCCTAAGGATTCTCAATAAAGTAACCTGATAAAACACAAGCACTAACCTGTTTGGAATATAGTGACAAGAAACTTTCTTGGGCTGGGCAAGCATCTCAAGTCTTTTGGTCAGCTGAACCTTCAAAGCACTCTGGGAAACAGGGTGAATAGGATCTTGGTTTCCCCAAAACAGTTTTCTGTTAAGAAGCATAAAAATAAAACGGTAAGAAATTCACTGCTAACGAACATCTAAGAGATGGATTCCATGGTGATTTTACTTCATGTCAAAAACTAACTATCTCTATTACACAATTGTATAATTTCCAGGCATCAGAAATGGATAGACTATTTATGGAAGTTAAAATAAGAATAAAGCAAGATTGTTTTGTCTACTGTCTTAAAACATAGGAACTAGAAACAAACCTATGAGAGAGAGCTCTGCTTCCACCATCAAGTCATTTCTACTGAGATTGGCATTAAATGGTCATGCCAACTGTCCACACCATGCTCCCATTTGGGGTGAAGCCCAGTCCCACGTGGTCAGAAAATAAAACAGTAACAGAATATTAACAGCTTCCATTTGTGAAATACTTACTGTGTGCAAGGCACCATGCTAAGTACAAATATCAACTCACTGACTTTCAACAGTCCTAAAATAGGTATAATAACTGCAGAGGAACAGGAAAGGAGAGATCGATATAAGAGTAATCTAAAAATGCTTCATGGAAGAAATCAAAAGACACAAACAGCCAGAAATGAGGTACATTCCATTCCATGGTGGGGTAACAATGGGACATGGAAATAATCAGGTCGTGAACAAGGAGTGTTTGGGTGGAAGCAGAAAGTCATGTAAATAAAACTGCTGGATTGAGGAAGGAGTGACACTGGGGAATAAATAAGAAGTAACACTGTGGAATAAGTAAGGTGAAAAACTGTAGAATGAGTAAAAAGTAACTTCACTGGAATGAGTAAGGAGTAACAATGTGGATGGAGTAAGGAGTGACCAATCTGTATATACAGTTATATGTAAGTTAGAAGGAAAGGAACCATGGGGTGAGAACAAGCAGAGACTCTGCAGTCAAGGAAAACAGAGAGGCAAGCTTCACCAAGGAGGAGGGAAACAACCAACATGTTAAAGGAGCATATTATACAGACAATTATTCGCTCTACTGTGGCAGCATTTTAAAAATCACCTGTTTAGCATTGACATGGCTAGTAATACCAAGAAAATGAAAACTTCGTCTTTTATGGTCCATATCTAGAACTTGACCCCAAAGCATAGGACCCTTATTCACACCACACCTGTTGGATGGATCCATGAAATATAACTAAGTCTGACACCATCACAGTTACCCATGGAATTCTAGGACACTGGAACTGTCAGGATTCTTGGGTGGGTCCACTGGTTCATCACCCCATTCTGCACGGCTAAATATCAAGTCTCATTCAGATTTCCAGAGTTAGAAAGCACAAAACAGGCCAGGCACAGTGACCCATGATCGTGCCACTGCACTCCAGCCTGGGCAACAGAGTGAGATTCCGACAGAAAGAGAGAAAGAGAGAAAGCAGGGGGAGGGAGGAAGGGAGAGAGAAGGAAGGAAGGAAGGAAGGAAGGAAGGAAAGAAGGAAGGAAAGGAAGGAAGGAAGGAAGGAAGGAAGGCTGGCTTTCATAAGTTCATGTCCAGGGTTTTGTTGTTCTCAAATGCTTATAATTGCTCCTATTATAACAAATATTTAGCTTTCATCTCTACTTGAAGCTAGAAATCAGTCTTCCATCTTTCTTTGGCAGCATGGTCAACCACAAATTCTTTGAATGTTTTCTCATAGGATCCATTTTTCTTTTAATAATTTTCTTCCTTGGCTTTTAAGACCCTCTCTTTCCTGGTTCTCTCTTATCAACTCTTCCTTGGTGTCTTTGGGTAGCATTTCTTCGACGATTTAAATAATGACATGTGCTCCAGGGTTCCAACCTCCACAATATTTTTTAAATTACTAAATTAATTCTGATGGTTCCCAAATGAATATCTCCAATTATTCTCAAGTACTTTCCTGAGTGCCAAATTACTGAATATCTCAAAAGCATCAACCATTGCCTAATGCATCCTTCTCCCAAACCTGTCCCTCCTCTTGTATTTTCTTTTGCAATTATAATAGCATTTTCTACCTCATTTCTAAACAGATGCTTAGAAATAATATTTTACTCAGACCCTTATAATTCATTTGTTACTAGGTCCTGTTCCTCCATACTTGACTCTCACCTGTATCTCGACCCTTAAGGCCACTGTCTTAGGGCAGGCCTTCCTGACTTCTCTACAGTGTTATTGTAATAGCCTCAAATCAATCTTCTTGTCTCTGGTTTTTCATGCCACCAAGGGGACTGTGCCTTTCTAAAAGAGTCAAGGTGATATAACAAAAAAAAAAAAAAGGGCTTTGGGGGCAATGGACGTAGATTCAAATACAAGTTTTGGTACCTGCAAACTGGGTGAACTTGGGAAGTTACTTAACTCTTCTAAGCTCTACTCCCTAATCAAATCACCCCTTCGAATTTTCTACTGATTTCAAATAGGGTTTGGGGAGAGTTCCAAGATTTTAATAGCTCTAGCAATATTCATTAACATATCTCTTATCAGTGTGTACCTCTCATCAAACTATGTGTGTGTTTCTATCCATGAAAAGGAGAATTTAATGAATAATATATGTTTAATATTAAGCCTTTTGAAAATTAGGTTTTAGATTATAGCAAAGTTATAGGATACAATGTTAACATGCAAAAGTCTATTGATTTTTTATATGCCAACAATGAACAATTGGAATTTGAAATTTAAAACACAATACCATTTACATTAGCACTACACAAGCATAATTCTAACAAAAATATGCACAAGATCTCTATGAGGAAAACTATAGAACTCTGATGAAAGGAATAAAAAAAGATCTAAAGAAATGGAAAGATACTCAGTATTCATGGATAGAAAGATTCAGTTCTTCCCAACTTGGTTTATAAAGTCAATGCAATTCCAGTAGAAGTCCCAACAAGTTACTTCGTGGATAAGGATAACTGATTCTATAGTTTATAAAGAAAGGCAAAAGACTCAGAATAGTCAAAATAATATTGACGAAGAAGAACAGAGTCAGAAGACTAACACTATCTTATTTCAAGACATATTATAAAGCTACAGTGATCAAGACAGTGTGGGATCAGTGAAAGAACAGACAGATCAGTGGGATAAAACACAGATTCTAGATATAGAGCCATATAAATACAGTCAAAGAACTGAACGCAATCCAATCAAGAGAGAAAATTTTTTTCAGCAAATGTTGCTAGAACAACTGGACATCTAAATACAAAAAAAAAAAATCAATTCTAGACACAGACCATATCTCTTCCATAAATATTCACTCAAAATGTATCATAGACCTAAATGTAAAATGCAAAACTATCAAACCTTTAACAGCTTTATAGAAAAACACATAGGAGAAAAGCCAAGTGACTCTGGGTTTGGCAATGAGTTTCTAGACACCACACCAAAAGCACAATCACACAAAAAAAATTTGAAACTTTGGACTTCATAAAAAATGAAGACATTTGCTTTGTGAAAGACACTGCTAAGAGAATGAATGACAAGACAAGCCGCAGACTGGGAGGAAATATTTGACACATATCTGCTGAAGGATTGGCATCTAAAATATACAAAGAACACTCACAACTCAACAATAATAATAATAAACAACCCCGTTTAAAAATGGGCAAAAGATCTGAATGAACACCTCGCTAAAGAAGTTGCACAAATAAGCAAACATAGCTCAACACCATGCCACTGGGGAACTGTAAATTAAAACAATGAAATAGCACTACATGCCTATTAGAATGGCTAAAATCCAGAACACCAATAACACCAAACGCTGATGAGGGCGTAGAGCAACAGGAAAACTCTCATTCATTGCTGGTGAAAATGCAAAATAGTACAGCCACTTTGGAAGAAGACAGTTTAACTGTTTCTTACAAAGTTCAATATGCTCCAACAATTGCCATTTGATCCAACACTCGCATTCTCATTTACCCAAATGAGTTAAAAACTGATGTCTACCCAAACCCCTGCACATGAATACTTATAGCAGCTTTATGCATAAATGGCAAATATTGGAAGCCACCATGATACCCATCAATAGGTGAATGGAAAATAAACTGGTACATCCGTACAGTGAAATGTTACTCAGATCAGTGGAATATAATGTTAAAAAGAAATGATCTATCAAGCCAGGAAAAGACATTAAAAGGCTGGACTTAGTGGCTCAGTCTGTAATCCCAGCACTTTGGGAGGCCGAGGTGAGTGGATTGCCTGAGCCCACGGGTTTGAGACCAGCCTGAGCAACTTGGTGAGACCTCATCTCTACAATAAATAGAAAATTAGCCGGACACGGGAGCACGTGCCTGTAGTTCTGGCTCCTTGTAAGGCTGAGGTGGAAGGATGGCTGAAGCCCAGCGGGTTGACGCTAGGTGGCCGTGAGCATGTCACTGCACTCCAGCCTGGGCGACAGAGTGAGACTCTGACTCAAAAAAAAAAAAAAAAAGGAAGAAAAAGAAAAGACATTAAAGAATCTTAAATGCATATTTCTAAGTGAAAGAAGCCAATTTGAAAAAGTTACATACTGTACAGTTCCACCTATATGACATTCTGGAAAAGGCAAAACTATAGAGACAGTAAATAGATCAGTGATTGCTAAAAAATTGGAGGGGGAGAAAGAGGAAAAAAGATAAATAGTTGGAGCATAGGCAATTTTTAGTGCAGTGTAATACTGTAATGGTGGATACATGACATTACACATTTGTTAAAACCTGTGGAATCTTGCAAGACAGAAATAGTATGTAAAACTAATGTAAACTACAAGCTTTAGTAAATAACAACATGTCAGTATTGGCTCATCAATTGTAAAAGCTGTATCATGTTAATGCAAGATGTTAATAATAGGGAAAACTGGTGGGAAGGGGTTGTAAATATAGGAACTCTGTACTTCATGCTCAATTTTTCTGTAAACCCAAATGGCTCTGAAAAATAAGGTCTGTTCACTAAAAAAAAAGAAAAGAAAAGAAAGCCAGGCACAATGGCTCAAGTCTGTAATCCCAGCACTTTGGGAGGCCAAGGCAAGAGGACTGCCTGAGCCCAGGGGCTTGAGATCAGCCTGGGCAACTTGGCAAGACCTTGTCTCTACAATAAATAAAAAATTTAGCTGGGCAAGCTAGCACCTGCCTGCAGTTCCAGCTACTTGAAGGGCTGAGGCAGAAGGATCACCTGAGCCCAGCAGGCCGAGGCTGCGGTGGCTATGAGTATGCCATTACACTCCAGCCTGGGTGACCGAGTAAGACTCCAACTCAAAAAAAAAAAAGTAACAAGCAATCAAAAAAAAAAAAAAATTCAGGCTTTACTCAGGAGCCAAAGAAGAAAACAGAAGTCCAATGGCCAAATGTGGAAGGACTGAGGGTCCATAGGACAGGTGTGCTCTGGGCAGAGACTTAGAGATATTGGGATTAGAGACAGTAGCCTTAGCAATACAGGCAGCAAAGTTGGACCTGGAGAATGCACACAAAAGTTTCAAGGGAGTGTGGAGTCACACCCTGGGGCATTAGTTCTCAAATCTGTCTGCCTATTGAAAGACAAATTTGAGAACCACTGACTGAGGGCTAGACTTCCACGTACTGACTCCAATGAGGTGTCAGTATTGGTTCAATGGATCCAATTAAGTGGAGGTAGATGGATAAACCTGGGATGCAGATTTAATGAATAGTTAAGAATAATATCTGGCCAGGCTTGGTGGCTCAACCTGTAATCTCAGCACTTTGGGAGGCTGAGACAAGTGGATTGCCTGAGCCCGAGGGTTCGAGACCAGCCTGGGCAACTTGGTGATACCTCGTATCTACAATAAATCAAAAAACTAGCCGGGTGTGGTAACACATGCCTGTGGTTCCAGCAACTTGGAGGACTGAGGTAGAAGGATCGCCAAAGCCCAGTGGGTTGATGCTGGGGTGGCTGTGAGTGTGCCACTGCACTCCAACCTGGGCAACAGAGTGAGACGTTAACTCAAAAAAAAAAAAAAAAAGAAGAAGAATATCTGTTTGATGTAACAAACACAATCATCACAAACAAAATCATGTAACATTGCCTTACCTATCTGGAATTCCCCATTGCTTTTTAGGCTTTGAAAGATCTTGGATTCTCTTCCTAGAAAAAAAACTAACAAAAACCAGCCGATTAATTCAAAGAGAATGCTTAAGAAATATGGTTACATTTGATGACTCCTACTCAAATACCATCTGTGGGGAGGAAAAAATCCTAAAGCCAGTGCTACATTTGATATGATTTGAAGAGTGCTAAAAGGCTCTAAGTATCCCAAAATACGGTGGATCCAAAATTCTCACTTCTAGAATCACTCATATAGTACATAATAAAGACAATAAATATGCAACAAAACAAAAAGCATATCATCTCCAGAAGACACTCAGTAATATACATGCCTGTTAATGGGGAAAATCTCAATCAGCAGATCAAGGAAATTTGTGGATGGCTAACTTCATATCTAACTCCAGCCGTACTGAGTATCACTTCCAGGAAGATGCCTTCAAGAGCTAGTATGCCTCCACGTCCCTCTTTCCAGGCCGGGAGTGCTGGCTTATGCCTGTAATTCCAGCACTTTGGAAGGCCAAGGTGGGACGATCACTCGAGCCCAGGAGTTTGAGACCAGCCTGGGCAACATAGGAGATCTTGTCTCTACAAAAAATTAGCCAGGCGAGATGGCACACACTGGTAGTTCCAACCACTTGGGGGTGTGACGTGGAAGGATTGCCCAAGTCCCGGAGGTCGAGGCTGCGGTGAGCCATGATCACACTACTTCACTCCAGCCTGTATGACAGAGTGATACTCTGGCTCAAAAAAACCCAACAAACAAAAACATCTCCCTCTTTCTCTGTTGCAGTGACACTGGAAGCCATATATCCTAGACACAGAGCTACAAGGTAGAGGAGGGTCATCTATTTCACATTAGACTGGCAGGAGGGAGAAACGAACTTCTGTATTAAGCCACTGAAAGTTCTGTATCTTTTTTTTTTTTGAGCTGGAGTCACTCCATCACCCAGGTAATCTCGCAGTCACCGCATCCTTCACCTACTGGGCTCAGGCGATCCTTCCGCCTCAGCCTTCCAAGTAGCTGGAACTACAGTTGTGCACCACCATACCTGGCTAATTTTTTCTTTTAAATTTATTGTAGAGATGAGGTCACGCCAAGTTGCTCAGGCTGGTCTCGAAGCCCTGGGCTCAGGCAATCCTTTTTCCTCAGCCTCCCAAAGTGCTGGGATGACAGGTGTGAGCCACCATGCTCGGCATTCGAGAGTTCTGTATCTTGTGTGCTACTGAAATGCCGTCTATCTATTCAGACTGATACACCACCATGTTACTGGAGCTCATATTTCAGTGATCGATGGCTTTTGGTTGGAGTGTGAAGAGCTAAAAATAATTAGCCAGGCGAGGTGGCACACACCAGTAGTTCCAGCCACCAGGAGTTTGTGGATGGGTAACTTCATAGCTAACTTCAGCACTTTGGGAGGCTGAGGTGAGTGGACTGTCTGAGCCCATGGGTTTGAGACCCACCCAGGCAACTTGGTGAGACCTGGTCTCTACAATAAATCAAGGCATGGTAGCCCATGCCTGTGGTTCCAGCTACTTGGAAGGTTGATGTGGAAGGATTGCTGGAGCCCAGCAGGTCGAGGCTGCGGTGGCCGGGAGCGGCCACTGCACTCCAGTCTGGGTGACGGAGTGAGACTCCAACTTAAAAAAAAAAAAAAAAAGATTCTGTGGGGCCACAGCTGTCCTGGGCCACGTGTGACCTGTGGGCAGTGGGTTGGACATGCCTGGTTTAAATTGTTTTATTGCTTGAAGAGTCCGCTAGATAAAATACAGTTTAGAGGTATTAAACATGATATCTCACCTCTAACCTGGCACTTGGGCTCTTTCTTCCTGAATGTCCCAAGTTCTGGACTCTTCTAATTGCCTCCTTTCCTGTTGCAACTAATCTATATGCATTTTGCTCTGTTAAAACCCTGCTGTTAGCCAGGAACGGTGGCGTACACCTGTAGTCTCCAGCTACATGGAAGGCTGAGGCCGAAGGATCGCCTAAGCCCAGTAGGTCGAGGCTGCCGTGGCTCTAAGTGTGCACTCATACTGATAAGAGACTCTGTTTAAAACGTAAATGTGGGCCAGGTGCGGTGGTTCACACCTATAATCCCAGCACTTTGGGAGGCCGAGGTAAGAGGACTGCCTGAACTCACAGGTTCAAGACCAGCCTGGGCAACTTGGTGAGCCCTCATCTGTACAATAAATCAAAAAATTAGCTTAAATGCATCTTTAATTTTTTAAAAAAGTTAACAAATATTTGCTTTGTGAACAACAATTTAAAAAAATTTCCAAACGTGAGATTGTGATAGTGGGTAGAGATCATCAAAAGATGCTATGGTGGTGAAAAGTTTGGGATCCAGTTGGGCATTGTGGCTCTCACCTGTAATCCCAGCACTTCAGGAGGCCGCCAAGGCAAGAAGATTGCCTGAGCTCAGGAGTTCAAGACCAACCTGGGCAACATAGCGAGATCTCATCTCTAAAAAAAAAAAAAAAAATTAGCCAGGCATGGTGGTGTGCACCTGTAGTCTCAGTTACTTGGAAGGCTGAGGCAGGGGGATCACCTGAGCCCAGGAGGTTGAGGCTGAGGTGAGCCATGACTGTGCCATTGCACTCCAGCCTGGGCGACAGAGTAGGACCCCTGTCTCAAAAAAAAAGTTTGGGACCCGCTGTATACCTGACATGATGCAACCCCATCACCATGCCTAGCCATGTTCTTCTGGAAACAATGAAGATACTGTCTGTTGCCAGAAAGAAACGCCACATTCTTTTTTCTTTTTTTAAGTAAAATAGTATTTTTATTATAATGAAACCTAAGCTAACTTGATATTTTAAAATTATAAGTCTGGGTTACAGATCTCTAACTGAATGCCTACCATCTGGGGGGTGTGAACTCAGTCCATTTTTTCCTACAGTCTTGAGGCTATAGGGGACCCATCAATATTTTTGTTTGCAGAAAACAACAGTAACAAATATGATTATTCAGAAGATGCAACTTGAAGTATCCAGGTACAAAACTTTCATTTCCAGAAACAAAACGTCCTTTAACATACACTTTGCTTAAAATTGAAGGGAATATTTATAAAGAACTACTTCAGGCCAACATATACACTACATTGGTAATCTCACTGCTCATTATTATTTTCTAATGCTCAACACCTTTAATTATTCTCATGGTCATCCAGCATACATGATAAATTGGTTGCTAAAGTTACAGATCTATCTCTGATGGGAAAGCTCAATAAGAAGAAAATGAAAGAAAAAGTACAGAAAAAAATTATCCATCACTTAGTAATTTTAAGACAATAGAGCCAGTTTAAAAAAAAAATCATTCCAAAACTAAGTAAAAAAATTAAATGTAGTTTTAAAGATATTCCTTAAAATACACTAGATATTTGATTGTCACTGTAGCTACAATGACAATTTATTAATTTCTGTGTTTTGCAATAAATTGGTAATTTTAAAGTAGTCGCTTTTCCAATTCTGAGGAATTAATTTGCCAAAATAAGGTTTAAAAGAAAAGATATGAAAGGGCTTGGTTTATCCTGATCTGGTATAAATTTGTAAAAGAATATAACAGGAATATACATAAATGAAGCAGTCACCACATTCTATGAACCAAAAATAATATAACAAACAATGACATATTTGTTTTTATAAAAGTTTACATTTTTGATCATATACTCCTCCCAAGTCTGCACCTCTGACATATTCGGAATTTGACTTTCGCCGGGGAGCGGGCGGAGGAGGAGCTTGCGCCTCGTGGACCTTCTCGCGGTCCGGCCGCGCCTCGTGGGCTCGCGGGGATTTCGCCGGCGGGGGCGTCCGAGGGATGCTGACCCCCACGCTGGACTTGGGTCACGTGCGGGGCCCCTTTGGAATCACGGACGACGCCTGTCCCCGCAGCACTGGGGACCTGACCCCCGACAACTGAAAAATCTTGCAGGATAGCTGTCCATGGGGGGCACAAAGCGATCAAGGTCATGGTGGGCAGGCCACACGTTAGAAACGCTACATTCTTGTCCGACCAGAGGACAGCAGGTACCTCATGACCCCCACGGCGAGAGCCGGTGTCAGCTTTCCAGGGAGGCTGGTTCCGTGGAAAAGAAAGCAAGCCACCGTTGCAGGCAAAACATCTCATTAGACGTGAATCATTCCAAGCCAGTTGCTTCTGACTTCATCTCACCCCAGCCAAGATTTCCTGCACTAACTTTTCTTCCCTAGCAAAATAATGGCTTTGTGTTTGATGTCTCATGTTGTGCAGACTATTGGCAGCTTCCTAGTTTATTCCTGCAGATACTTAAATCGGGTTGTTATTTCAACTGGAAGGAATCTCATTAACATGTGCTACTTCTGTGTGAAGCTCTGGCTAATACCTTGTTTGTCACTCACTTTTTCTTTTATATTGCCTCAATGTTTTCTTTTCTGTTTTCTTTTCTTTTTGTAGAGACAGGATCTCTCTCTGTGACTGAGGCTGGAGTGCAGTGGTGCAGTCAGAGCTCACTGCATTCTCAACCTCCTGGGCTCAGTGATCCTCTCTCCACAGCCTCCCGAATAGCTGGGACTACAGGCATGCACCACCACACTCAGCTACTTGTTTAATTTTTTGTAGAGATGGGTGTCTTGTTATATTGTCTAGGCATGCTGGGATTACGGGCGTGAGCCCCCACACCCAGATTATGTTGCCTCAATGTTTTCTAAAAAGCCATTCACGGCCATTGCCTTGCTAAGATGTGGTGTGGCCATGTGCTCTTTCAGCGATGGTCAGGCCAGGTTTTCTCAAGCTTTGACCCCCTCCCTTCCCTTGGAGATGTGAATCCCCTCTTTCTCTCACTCTCTCTCTCCAATTTACTTTCTAAATAAACCATATTTTCTCATCTTAAAAAAAATCTAAAAAATAAAAAGCCATTCACTTTCTATGTACGATGTCCCCATGGCTATGTCTCCAACCTACAACTCTTCATCATAACATGGGTTTCCGCTCTCTCTTGAGAAACTGCATTATCTCACAATGTCTTATCATGCTCCTAACCACATCTAGTTAAAGGGTTTTAACTCTTGAAGGCAGGTTGTTTTTAATGATTTCATTCTGTCCTATGTCTCTGTTGATAATTAGTCTCCTATGGTTTGCCAACATCTATGGATGTTTTTGAAATCCTTACGTGGGGTTCACAGCAAGAAATATATGTTTAGATAGCAACAATTATAGAGATGACTTCAGCCCTCTCCTGATGGGGTGATCTAATAATTCTTTCAGTCAGAATGTTCTCTGCCATTTTACTATCTTGCTTATATTCAGGAAATATTTTCTTTCATAACTAATTCGGACTAGCACATTTGCATAAGAAAGAGGAATTGTTTAGCGGATTCAGGATACATAATAGAGATAGCACAATTTCCTCACATACAGCCCCCAATTAACCAAGGAAACAAAAGCAAGAAGCAGTAAGAAATAATAACAATTAAAAAAAATTATTTAAACTACTCTCTTCACAGTCTTTTTTTTTTGTGGGGGGGGGGTCAGAGTCTCACTCTGTCCCCCAGGCTGGAGTGCAGCGGCACAATCACAGCCACCGCAGCCTCATCCTTCTGGGTTCAGGAGATCCTTCTGCCTCAGTCTCCCGAGTAGGCTGGGACTACAGGCATGCGACACCATACCGAGCTAATTTTTTATTTTTGTAGGATTGAAGTCTGGCTATGTGCCCAGGCTGGTCTTGAACTCCTGGACTCAAGCAAATATCTTGTCTCAATCTCCCAAAGTGCTGAAATTACAGGTGTGAGTCACTGCGCTCAGTCTTTTTATATATTTTTTTAAATATAAAAACGTATTTTTTTAAGCCTAAACTATTTTCACTGCCCATTTAGCCACAGGAGAATGTGCTCACTCAACATACATATCTATTTAAAGGTGATGTGGCATTCTGAGTGTGTACTTGGTGATACTCAGTAAGTGTCCATTCTGCCAACTCTATTGTCAGCCATCAATCTTGACGAAGTGACATAATTTCTCTTCATTTCATTTTCTCTCAGGAAAATCCAGTTGATATGTTTGCCCTATCTACTTTTCAGAATTATTATTATTACTATTTTAGAGACAAGATCGTGCTTTACTGGCCAGCCTGGCACAATCACAGCTCACTGCAACCTCCAACTCCTGGCCTCAAGGGATTTTCCTGCCTCCCAAGTAGCTGGAACTACAGGTGTGCACCATCACACTTGGCTAAGTTTTTTTTTTTTTTTTCTCAGAAAGGGGGAGGTCTTGCTATGTTGCCCAGGCTAGTCTTGAACACCTAATCTCAGCCTCCGAAAGTGCTGGAATTACAAGTCCAAGTCACCACACCAAGCCTACTTTTCAGCATTCTTGTGAGAATGTATATTTTTTAACTGCAAAGCATTACACAAAAATTAGGTAGCAGTTTTTATTGCCTGAAAGAATAGAAAAAACCTAGAAATCTTAGTAAATAGACAATATAAAATAAGTTTAAATAGTAACCACAAATGTAAATGGGTTAAGCAACAGTAATTAATATAAATAATTTTAACCCACCTCTTAAAAGAGTAGATAGGCTGGTACAGTGGCTCATGCCTATAATTTCAGCACTTTGAGAGGCCTAGGTGAAAGGATTGCCTGAGCCCACGGGTTTGAGATCAGCCCGGGCAACTTGGTGGGACCTCATCTCTACAATAAATCAAAAAGTTAGCCAGGTGTGGTGGTGCGCGCCTGTAGTTCCAGCTACTTGGAAGGCTGAGGTGGAAGAATCACCTGAGCCCAGAAAGTCGAGGCTGCAGTGGCCGTGAACATGCCACTGCACTCCAGCCTGGGTGACAGATTGAGACTCCAACTCAAAAAAAAAGAGTAGATAAAAAGAAAACCTGGTATTTCTTCCTTCTCACCTACATGGGTTGTGGATATGGACCCTTGGTATTTCTCCTTAATTCTACAGGTTGAGTTTCCTTTAACTGAAATCTTCCGATGTTGGAAGATTTCAGATTTTGGAATATTTGCATAAATATAATGAGATATCTTGGGGATGGGGCCCAAGTGTAAACATGAAATTCATTTATGTATTATATACACCTTATATGAGCGGGGACCAAAAAAAAAACAGGAATTATCTTTTGGAGAATGGGCCTCTTGTGCTTCAGGCTTCTCCTGAGAGGTGAGTGTTCTAGGAACCCATTGGCATCTGTGCACCAGTTAGTGTTGTGAGAGGCTGCGTTCAGCTTCAGTAAACTTTTTTTTAAGACTCTTTCAACCTTGGCACAGTGGCTCATGCCTATAATCCTAGCACTTTGGGAAGCCAAGGTGAGAGGACTGCTTGAGTCCATGGGTTCGAGACCAGCGTGGGCAACTTGGTGGGTCCTCATCTCTACAATAAAAACCAAAAACAAAAAAAACCTAGCCGGTCGTGATGGCACATGTCTATAGTTGCAACTACTTGGAAGGCTGAAGCAGAAGGATCCCCTGAGCCCCGCAGGTCGAAGCTGCGGTGGCTGGGAGCATGCCACTGCACTCCAACCTGGGCAACAGAGTGAGACTCCAACACACACACACAAAAAAGGTTCTTTCAATGTGTATACTGGATGATTTACAAACATACTTGCCCATACCACACAGAGTGCTCAGCATCAGCAGTTTTTGACCAAAAAATGGCATGAACCCCCCGCCCCACCCTCCCTATTCATCTGATCTCACCCTCGGGGACTGTTTTTTCGTTTCCCTGGGTACAAAAAGTGCTCAAAGGATGAGGCGGAACAAAACACGGCAGAAGCACCAAAAGGCATCAAAATCGGCAAGTTCAAAATAGTGTGGAGCAGTGGAAAAAGCATCTTGATAGGTGTATTGCATCAAACAAAGAGTACCTTGAAGGTGACTGAAGTTTAAACATGTAAAAATCAATACCCTATTTTAATAAATAAACTCCAGGTTTTTTGGATACCCCTTCATACATATAACCCAAAGGTAACTTCACACAACATTCTGAATAATTGTGTGCATGAAACAAGTCTGTCTTAAGTACTTCTGTGTGGAATTTTCCACTTGTGGCATCAGGTTGGTGCTCCAAATGTTTCAGATTTGGGGGCTTATTAGATTTCAGATTTTCAGATGAGGCATGCTCAACCTGTATTGTTTCCTCTTCTACCTACATCTTAGCCAAGGCAAGGGGAAGCGTCTATGTTCAGCAGGTATTTATTTTTGTACATTCATATGCATACACACAGGTTTGTTTTGTTTTTTCCCATAGAGAACACGTTCTTGAAGTTTCATTAGCACGATTGCACTTGAATTAGAAGCAAAGGGGAACAGACTGTATTGACCTAGATGTTTACAAATTCTATGGACATGGAATTGCCAATGTAGTCTCCCAAGTCTCTTAAAGCAGGGGTCCCCAACCCCCGGGTCGCAGCCGGTACCAATCTGTGGCCTGATAGGAGCCAACTGGATGAGCAGAGGGGAGGGAGCTCTTCTGTCAGACCAGTAGCGGCATTAGATTCTTCTAGGAGCGCAAAACCTTTTGCGAACTACACGTGCCTGTGAAGGATCTAGGTTGCACACTCCTTATGAGAAGCTAATGCCTGATGATTCCCTCCCCACCCCACCCGGACCCCGTCCGTGGAGAAACTGTCTTCCACGAAAAGCATCCTTAAAGGACCATGGCCTTAAAGGTTTAGATCTAGTAGATAACAAGCTTAGTATCTAGCAAACAAATGAAAAACTGAGTGAATGTAAGAAGTGTTACCTTCTTCTTTTTCTTTTTTTAAATAGAGACAAAGTCTTGCTATGTTGGTCAGACTAGTCTCAAACTCCTGGCCTCCGATCTCAGCCTCCCAAAGTGCTAGGATTATAGGTGTGAGCCACCACGCCCAGCTTGAAGTGTTCTCTTACATCTCAGTCTTCATTCCACTTCACTTCTCAATAATTTTATCTTCCTTCATTCCTCTTCCCACAAGAATTGTGATTAGAAAAGGGTCTCACGACCAATGGAAAACAGGAATTTCTTCAAAAATCCCAAAATAACTGACTTCGAATTCCAGAATGAGTCAGCCCCATCCAGCCTGGCTGGCCCACTAGTTTAGGAATGTGAGAATAGCTACTATAGCTACAGTCTTACCATTTCCTTGCAAAGTCACAGGACACAG